CCCGTCCTTTGACCTTGAATTTGACCTTGAAGGTCAAGGTTTAGGGGTGAATGGGTTCGATTTTCGTGATCCTCATGGTCCAATTGACCTTGGACGAGGTTTTGGCTAAAATCGGTGCTCGTCGCTGGAAAAGTCGCTGGTGACGTAGCATTTTTAAAGTTCCCCGTCCTTTGACCTTGAATTTGACCTTGAAGTTTGACCTTGATGAAAATGGTTTTCGATGTGCGGCTAGAACTTTGCACGCGCTACATTTTGGTGCCAAAGTTTTGAAGATCGGACAATATCTAGTGGCACTTTTTCAGTTCCCCGTCCTTTGACCTTGAATTTGACCTTGAAGTTTGACCTTGATGAAAATGGTTTTCGATGTGCGGCTAGAACTTTGCACGCGCTACATTTTGGTGCCAAAATTTTGAAGATCGGACAATATCTAGTGGCACTTTTTCAGTTCCCCGTCCTTTGACCTTGAATTTGACCTTGAAGTTTGACCTTGATGAAAATGGTTTTCGATGTGCGGCTAGAACTTTGCACGCGCTACATTTTGTTGCCAAAATTTTGAAAATCGGACAATATTTAGTGGCACTTTTTCAGTTCCCCGTCCTTTGACCTTGAATTTGACCTTGAAGGTCAAGGTTTAGGGGTGAATGGGTTCGATTTTCGTGATCCTCATGGTCCAATTGACCTTGGACGAGGTTTTGGCTAAAATCGGTGCTCGTCGCTGGAAAAGTCGCTGGCGACGTCGCCAACTTCACGGACATGACAAAATTAACATGAAATATCGTCGGCAGTAAAGTCTATGCAACACTTCATGCTACCAGTCACATGTCATATGCCCTGCAATGTGTGCATTTGGCACTATGCTTTACCGACGAATGAGTGCTCGGCCCGGCGCCGCGCCGCATGCACTTGCCAAGGCGCACAACCGCCGAACGCACTCAAAGATTTTACTTCCGTTTTTCTTCATTTGGCTGCACAGTCGTGCTGCCAACAAGCAGCTAACGTCAAGCGGTCATTTCTGTTATGATCTTGACTCGTGCAAGGCCGTATAAGACTCGTGTGTGTGCTGCTGTTGGATCGTTGCTACTTGCTACGTTTTCAAATTATATTCGTCTGCTGAATCAACGATTAAAGCAGCTATAAACACACGAATCGTGATGGACTTTTTCCTTTCGTCCCTACAGTCGAAGGTGAGTCGTAATAATGCGATTCCTGCTGTTTTGTTTTTCATTCTGAGACTGCGCCAGGGGGGCTCGCTCCCGTGCCTTCAGCATTACGAAAAATGGCAACAGCCCGTGAGCAGCATCAGCGCTCACGCACATGTTCAAGGAAAACAACGTGTGATTAGCTGCTGACGACGGCCCTCTCCACCAATCAGCGCTCGGTAACTCGAGCGCTGATTGGCTGGTAGCAAACGCGTCATATGTGGGTCTCTTTTTTTTTGCTATCAGTGAACGCGTTATTTAATACACAGTGGCCTATGGAGAATGGCACGCGGAATTGAAGGTCAGTGTTTTATTGCTTCGTACATGCGAGTGGGGGTATTTGAGTGGCATTTGACAATATATTCGAAATCTACAGTGAATTTCTGATCGACTCATGTATATATTTTTATGAATTTGACAGTATTATTGCTACATAGTCGGTGTTTTATGTTGGTGTTGTTTCTCTCGACCTTTGTTCTCGAAAGTGCTTGCCATAACCAGGTCTAAACTGTATCTGTATAAAGGGAATATGTGTTGAATATGAGGGGAAAGTAGTAATGACCATTCTGCCTATCAAACTGCCAGAAGGTGTGCTTGTAAGGTGATTGAAACTGCAATACGGGTTGCAGATATGGGTTTGACATTAGCATTGTTGTTGTAACCCCACTTGCGCTAATAAAATGGCAACATGGGGTTATGTGCACACTATTGCACAGCCTGGTATCAAGCTGGTTGATATGTGGAGGATAATGAAAGCATAAAAGAATAGGAGTGTTGCGTCTTGTGACTTATTGTTATGTCAAGTCATTTTAAATCAAATGATTGTGATTGTAACTTTAACTTCAATTATTATTGCAAGTTTTGACCTTTTTAATCATCAATTTTTATGTGTACCAATTTCATATGCCTGTGTAATGTCTGTGCGGCTTTGTGCACTGCAGTGTGCGTGTCTTGAAACAAACCAATTTATTTTGTACCTTTTTATACTTCAACAAATGTATGTCAAAGGACAAAAATGTCATGTCTATTATCATTGACACTACTACAGCTAACTTTGCCTGTATTCCTATCTTTCAGAGGCATTCAATTCAATCTGCTTTCCAGTGCAGTACCAAGGAGGCTGCAACTGAAACTCGCACAAAGGCAATCAAGTGTCACTTCATCAGCCTACAGTAACAGACAGCCCATCTGTAATCAAAATATGGATGAAGGGGCATAGAAGAACAACCAGTTCAAACATGAAAAGATTGTATTTTGTTTTGGACTATTTCTTAGCATAAAAGAACAGTACACTTGCTGCTTTTTATGTTTGCCCTGTGTGCAGTTTTGAATAATTTTAACCATGAGATGCTTTTGTCAACTATTCTCTTTACATAAGCTTCCTTTGTCATGCATGTGTAATTTTGAGTTTACATGCATAATGTAGGCACATTTCCATTGGCTTCATAGAAGTTAAAACTACTGCAAGCTTTGGTTATGGACATTGGTGCTATATATGATGCTTCAAATGTGTCCAGTAGTTGATGAAGGGAGAAGAGGAGTAGGACAGCTGATAGCTATTACCAAAAGTATGTGCTTGTCTGCACTTCGGGCTGTTTTACTTCCTTGAGTTAAAAAACCCTCATCTTTTGTTTCTTTCCTGTGTGCCCATTGTTTCCATGGTGCTATACATAAACGTCAAGTTTGAAGTTGGTATCCAAGTGAGCAAAATGTGTATTATTTCAGTCCGTCTTGAATCATTCGTCTTGAATTATATCCCTAACTGGCATCCTGTTATTTGTCCTGCAATGTCTGTGCCTGTGTCCGCCCTTACCTCCGGCTCCAGCCTCCAACCAGCCCTGCTGAGCTCTGTCGCCGGCGCGGTGTGTCGCAACGTGCTGTTTCTCCACTCCAGCCGACAGCTGCTAGGAATCGTCCTGTGCCATGCGCCATGCGACACAGCAATTGTAAGCTGCAGGTCACATTCGGACTGATTGGCTCCGCGTATGTGCATCCGGCCGGGAGCTAGTCGATATCAGGGACGTGGGTCGGACTGTTGTGGCGGCGTGCACTGTGCTGGTTGAAGTTGTATTTCTGTTAGTGAAAAGCATTAATACATAACCGTGGCCGCAGCCCAATGTTATTGTGGATTTCAGAGGGAGTGGCCAGTCAGGAGGGCCCCATGTGGGTATGGATCCAGTGTCCAGTGGGATTGGCTAAGATTTCCGGCGATTACTTCTATGATAGTAAACCTATTGAGTTATGAGGGGAGGTCACGTGACGGACCTGACCTTACTAAACTCTTGTGAAAACACGACACATACGAACGGTAAGAAACCGACAACTCTTCTTTCTTCCAAGTGTCATCTTTCTGTGAAGGATTTCTTGGCACTGAGTGTTCAGAAATTGCGTTGTTTTTGGACTGTGCAGAGGCTCACGAGCGACAACATAGGTCAACAACCTGTCCTGCCTTAAATATGCGACTTGTACCATAAGATCCAGCTTGATCAAAAGATAGGACATGTCAAATTTCATCTCTTTATCTCAAAAGAATTTTGAGCTATCGTAAAAACCGCCAGTGTGGCACCATATCGCCTCCGCGCGCGGTGGGAAGGTAAAAGTTCGCCGGCTCTAACTAAACAAATAGTCGTCGTATCGCAAATTCATTGACGGCGTTCGAAGCGTCGTTCAATTTACTTTCGAAACATATCCTAACCTTACCATTTAACTGCCTAGCGCAATCACCAACAAGCAAAAGTTCCGCACATCCCTCCTCATACAGTGTTAGCGGCGGCCGGCCGCCGGCCGCTGACCCACATTCGCGTCATCAGGGAATGCCGCAACTAATTTATTGTTTCCAACTTTTTTCCCGGAGCGTTCTACCTGGTTTATATAGCCTTGGACTGCGCCTAGCGTCGGCAGAGCGCTTCCATAAATGGACACGTGTTTACGCGTCCGACGGGCTGTCGACGTCGTGCCTCGTGGACGTGGCCTTCAGTCTGAAGATGAGTGTCGCTGATATTATGATGGACTATGATGCTTATCCATATCGCGGGACCTAAATATTCATGAACGAGTAATGGGACGATATATGACTCATCTGCTTCCGTAATGTCTTCACGCCGACCATTAATTTGAACGCAAACGACATAGAACGAACCTCCGAACAATATCAGCATGTACCTATTTTTATGCAAACGACAGTGACCTGAGCTGTATCTGAAAATACACAAGGTAGCAGTCTAACGTTCAACCTCACTCAGCACAGAAGAAGGTGTGAGATTGATTAGCAATTAGCATATCTGGAGCAGAAGCATTTTGCCATGTGTCCTTGCCGGAAATAACAAAATACACAAATCTTGTAGCTTCATGCGGCACATTAATCAGATTCTGCATGTCTCAAATCTAGCAACAGGTACCCGATCCGGTCCTGCAACGGTCGGAGAAGTATCTATGTATGACCGTGGGTCGGAGGCAACTCGACCTGCCTACCCTCTGGTGGCGGACGGCCTCACTCCTGCCATCTGGCGGCGCCGGCCGGCGTCACCGCTGGCGGAGGAGGTCCCCGAGAGAAAGGGTTACCGCTGCGGCCCAGCGCTGGTCATTCGCTCACGGGCGAGGCTCCGGGTCTGACGTGTCTCTGGTCAGAGCTGGTGTTAGTCTCTCGGCAGCTGGCTGAGCCCGACCGACTCCCCGCCGGCCCGTGCTGCCCTCTGGTGAACCGACCGCCGCCGCTGGAGGATCCTCTCACGTGCGCCACTCGGCGGCGCCGGCCGGCCCACAGTGAGTTGTCTCCGAGCCTCCCATCGGTTAGTACCGACCATGCACCGGCTACGGGCCGCCGCTCTGGCCGCCTTGGCTATTCTCGTGACTTCCGCGCCCGTATCAGCCACTGTTGTTTCCTCTGCACTCGCCGACACATACGCCGACGATTACTACGCTGACTACAGTTTCGCCGGCGCGTTTGACTACCTGAATGAACAGGATGTGGTTCAGTCCAAGCACGGTGTGACTGTGCCGGTGGGCGGCCGGCACGCGCTGGACCCTGTCACCGAGCTGTCTCTGTGGGTACCGCCTGATGATCGGTGTCGGGTGCGAGTGATATCCCCACCGGCCGGCCGCGCGCCGGGCCGTCTCGAGCCGGACGAGTTTGATTGTGAGTTCGATGCCGGTGAGGTGGTGTACACCCACTATGGCGCGCCGCTGCCTGAGAGAGACCGGTTGACGCTGCTAGTGAGGTATGACTCGGCTGAGGATACGGCTATCGTACCGCTGACTCTGGAGCTGAGTTTCACCCCTGCCGAGCGTACTATCGTGCGTGAGCTGCTGCCACTGCTGGTGGACGCGCCCGGCGGTCTCTCGCCGCCCCTCGGACCACAGCACGTACGGCTGGAGGTCGGGGACGGCGAGCGGTGTGAACTGACCCTAGTGGAGGGGCTCGGTCTGCCGCGGCACGGCGCGGTGGTCACTCAGCTCGGTGACGTCCGGCGAGTGAGCTGTGACGATCTGTCCGCCGCCGGGATCCAGTACCGACACGGTGGGCCGACGGCCGGAGACCATGACTTCCTACCGCTGGCGGCGGAGGCGCGCGCCACCGACGGGCGTCTCCTGCGCCGGGAGTACCTGCAGGTACCGATCCACATCGACGGCGGACTGGAGAACACCCCTCCGCGGCTGACCGGCGCCGCTCAGCCAACACTGGACGTGAGACAGAGTGCGCCGACGCCGCTGAGCGCCGCGGCACTGCGAGCCGAGGACGACCAGACGCCACCCGATCAGCTAGTGTTCAATGTGACCCGTCCCCTCGGCTACGGAGACGGAAGGTTGTTTTCTACCGACGACCCGGATGCGCCTCTGCTCTCGTTCCTACAGCGTGACCTGACCGAGCTAAAGGTGAGCTATCAGCCTCCGAGTGGACGCTCGCCGCGCCGGCGCACCTTTCAACTGGGCCTACAGGTGGTCGATGGAGACGGACTCGCCTCTGAAGAGGTCACTCTGAGCATTGTCGTGCATCCGATTAATACACGCTCGCCGGTGGTCACCCGAAATACTGGTCTGTCCATGTTCGAGGGACAGAGCCGGCGTCTGCTGAGCGCGACTAATCTGGAGATTACTGACGAGGATAATCTGGCTGATGTGACGGTGGAGGTGATGGGCGGACTGCGGCACGGCCGGCTGCTGCTGCTCGGCGCTGAGGTCGTCCGATTCTCCCCGGCTGACCTAGACACGGGGCTGATTGTGTACCAGCACGACGGAAGCGACACGACGAGTGATAATGTCCTGCTGCGCGCCTCTGATGGGGAGAGTGAGGTACTGTTCGTTCTGGCCGTCGCCATATTCCCCGAGGACGACCAGCCGCCGCTGGTGACGGCCAACACTGGTCTGACGGTCCACCGCGGACAGCAGCTGCTGCTGACGCCCCGGCTGCTGGCAGCTGCTGATGTGGATAGCCCCGAGCGGCAGCTGGTGTTTGAACTGACAGAGATGTCGTCGGACGGCGGGGAGGGTGTGTTTCTGCTGAGAAGTGTCACCAAGGACGGCGCTGTTGGGAGCTCCGACTGGCGGCTAGTGGATGGAATGTATGAACGCACCGTCACCTCCTGGAGTCAGGCTGATCTGCAGGACGGCCGCGTCTACTATCGACACACCGGCCCGCCACGACAGGACGCACACACGGCACTCGTGGGCTTCACCGTCCGCGACGACGCCGAACCGCCGAACCGTAGCTCGCCGCAGACTCTAACCGTGACTGTCCTACCGGTGGATGACACGCCGCCGGCACTGACCCCCGGCGCCTCCCTCTCCATGGTGGTGGATGAGGGTCGTCTGAAGCCCATCGACCGCGCCGCGCTCAGCTACTGGGACGCAGACTCTCCGCCGGACCGGGTGTTTTTGGTCGTTACAGGCCCGGCTCGTGAGGTGGACGGCGTACGCCCGCCCCCGGCCCCGGGCGCCGCACCCGCCCCGCCCGCTGGCTACCTCGTCCACACCGAGAGGCCCGAGCAGCGCGTCACCAACTTCACACAGGCGCAGGTGAACCATCATAAGGTGGCGTTTCGACCGACCGAGGCGGAGCTCGGTTTGGTACCGCGCGTACTTCAGTTACCGTTCATCGTGACAGACTCTGCCGGTAATACGCTCCGTGACCAACTCCTAACCGTGTTTGTCACACCCGTCGACGATCTGCCGCCTCGTGTCACCAGTCACGGTCTGAGTGTGCCTGAGAACGGCGCGGCCGTCATCTCACCAGCGCTGTTAGACGCACACGACGAAGATACACCGGAGGAGGAGCTACGATTTACTCTGACGGCCGGTCCACGGCACGGCGCTCTTAGCGTTCACGGACGAAATACCACAATCGGCGAGCAGTTCGGTCGGCGCAGTCTGGTTACCGGAGAGGTGGTATACCTGCACGACGGCTCTGAGGGCTCCGAGGACCGGCTGGAGTTTGAAGTCTCTGACGGCATCCGCAGCGTGCCGGCTGTGTTTCCGATAACGGTGACGGCCGTGGACGACCAGCCGCCGCGGGCGCTGACGGGAGAGATCAGGATTGCTGTACAGGAGGATGGGAGTACGGCGCTGACGGCTGAGCTGCTGCCGACTGCTGACGCTGATTCAGACCGCTCGCTGCTGACATTCCTGATCACAGACCGACCGACGGAGGGAGCGGTTACTCTAGACAGTGAGGAGACTGACCGATTCACGGCCACTGACCTGGACCGCGGCGCCGTGGTGTACCGACACAACGGAGCAGAGATCGGGCCTCTGCCTGTGTTAGACACCTTCTCCCTGACTCTGACCGACCTGAGCAGTGAAGCCTCCGACCACATCACCGTCTCCGTCACCGTGGAGCCGGTGGACAGCCAGCGCCCGCAGCTGGTGGCCGCCGACGGGGCGCTGTATGTCGACGAGGGCTCGTCGGCACCACTGCCGGCCGAGCTGCTAACTCTCACGGACCCCGACACGCCGACAGATCGACTCAGCTGTGTGCTGACAGAGCGGCCGCGGTTTGGTTACCTGGAGAGCAGCTTGCCGCCGGTGGGCTCGGAAGTACGTCGTGCTGGTGCGGTCACTGCATTCACGGCCGGTGAGCTGGAGGTGGGTGCTCTGCGTTATATGCAATCTATCCACCAAGGTGTGGAGCCACGAGCGGACAATCTGACAGTAATCTGTTCGGACGGCGTGGGTCCATCGCCACCGGCTACTGTCCGAGTCATTATCCGTCCTAGCAACGACGAGCCGCCGCGGCCGCTGCTGCGTGAACTGGTCGTACTCGAAGGAGGTGACCTGGTGATCGACTCGACCCTACTGTCGGCTGCCGATGCTGACCTGCCGGCCGACCAGCTGACCTTTCAGGTCACCGCACCGCCGCAGCACGGCAGGCTGGTGTTACACGGAGAGCCAGCCCGCTTCTTCACCGCAGACGAGCTGCGCGGACAGATGGCGCTGGTATACTCACACGACAACTCCGAGACGATTTCTGACGGGTTTGAATTCCGACTGGAGGACGGCCATGCCGCTCACGCGGTCGAGGGACGCGTCACCGTGCGAGTGGTGCCTGTTGATGATGAAGTGCCCACTCTGGCGGTCAACCGTGGCCTGCGCGTGTCTGTGGGAGGCTCGGTAACGCTCTCATCTCGTGAGCTGCGCGCCGCTGACCTGGACACTCCGGTAGAGCGGCGGCTGTTCGTGATACGCACCCCACCGCGGCACGGTACGCTCAGTCTGGCCGGCGTAGCGCTCGGAGTCGGTGACAACTTCACCCAGCCGCAGCTGGACTCCTCCGCGCTACGTTACACGCACGCCGGCGGCGACACATCAGCCGAGGACACGATTCGCTTCGACGTCAGTGACGGCACGAACCTGCTGCTGGACCGACAGCTGACGGTGTCGGTAACCGGTGGCGACCGGGCGTACCCTCGCGCGCTGAGCCGCGGCCTGCAGCTGCCCGAGGGCGGCACGGCCGTGCTCACCACGGACGTACTCAGCAGCAGCGACGACGACAGTGACGACGCGCGGCTCGAGTACCGGCTGACGCGGCCTCCGCAGAGGGGTCACCTGGAGCTGGCCGGCAGCCCGGGACAGCCGCTGACCGGCTTCACGCAGCTGCAGCTGGCTGCGGGACGGGTGCGCTACGTCCACCACGCCCAGCACGAGGAGAGAGCCGACAGCTTCGAGTTTGCCGTTAGTGACGGGGTGCACGCCGTGGCGAGGGCGTTTCGTATCTCTCTGCTGCCCGTGGATAACAAACGCCCGGTGCTGTTCAAGGAAGAAGTTCGAGTACCCGAAGGCTCCGAGCGGACGATCACCCCATTCGAGCTGAAGCTTGACGACCGCGACACCCCGTCGGAGCATCTTCTGTACCGCGTGGTCGAGCCGCCGCTTCACGGTCGCCTGCTGTTCAACCACAGCCGACCTGTGAGGGAATTCAGCCAGCACGACCTCGACTCCAACATGATCTCTTACCGACACAGTGGCGGCGGCTCCGACGGACACCGGGCCCTCTCCGATCGGTTCCGGTTCGTGGTGTCTGACGGGGCCGACGGAATGTACTACGTTTATCCAGAGACGGCGCGAGGTACCCGGCTGCCCACCCAGCTGGATATCCGGGTGCTCGCTGTGGACTCCCGCCCGCCCGCGGTACAGGTGTCACGGGCGGTGACGGCTCTGCACGTGCTGCCCGGCGGCCGGCGGGGTGTTCGACTGGGCTCGACACACCTCCAGTTCAGCGACCCGGACTCGGAGGGCGAGCAGCTGATGATGGAGGTGACGGCAGGACCGGAGAGCGGCGTCCTGGTCGACCTCATCACCAACCAGACCGTCACCAACTTCACACAGGGTGAGAGACACAACGGCCGCGGCGGCGGAACGTAGTTTGAGATGCATTTCAGACGAATTTTTCGAGTAACATAGATAATTTGAAACGGTTATCTAAATAACTACGTATGACCTATTGCCTTGTGTGCTGAAACGACTAGCTGAACCATATCAAACGTCTGTGTGCACTGTGTAGTGATCTTTGATGTGTTTCCCTTGCTCCCAGATTTACAGCACATCCATCCTTCCTACAGCCGTCTTCCAGGAAACCGATAGGCATCCAAACAATTCGGCATCCTCCGTTATCCCAACCCACCACACGCCTCCATAGACGGCCCGCTACTAAGCGCTAGTAAATTAATCGGAGCCGCTAACTGCTTCTCAGGGGGTGGTCTTGTTTTACAGCTGTCCAGTAAACAACACCAGTCTGTCGGGCTCATTTACACCCCCGCCGTGGAGAGATGCTGATCAGATTTTATCTCCCACTGACCGCTGCCGTAACGATAAGATCTGCCGCTCGCACCTCGGCACCGGCGCCGATCACCAGGTTCGGGCAATGAGTGTCAGACGGCTCCCGGCGTGGCCCGCCCCCTGCTGATGTGGTCAGGAGACGGGCCCGCCCCCATCTGATGGTATTGAACGGCCCGGCCCCCAGCTGATAGCACGGGCCCGTCCTCCGTAAATGGTTCGGCAGCCTGTCCGCTTGACCCGACTAACCGGCCCGGTCAGAGGGTTGAACACGGCACACGTGCTGAAGGGTTTCCGCTGATCAGCGGTGCACGCTCCTACCGGGACTAGTTACATACCCCGCTGTGATTGGTCTCAGACTCAGCCTGCCCGGCGTGGTGGCCGCTCTGATCCCACCGGGCATTAATCAGCCCTGGTTGGAGTGGAGCGGGACTCAAACCCGGATGGAGTGATACCGGGAGTCAAGCATCCCACCGTATTACGTCCCCAGTTACACTGTTGTATATCCATCTCACTAGACCTTTGCTCCAAGCCTCGGAGCATAGCATGTATCAGAGTAGACTTGGGTCGCTTTCTCTGAGTTCTGAGCGCAGTCTCTATCCTCAATGAGTGAACTCAGCTAGTCATAATCCCCACACGAACTTCTACCATATGGCGTCAGCAGTCTTTCCCACCATGCGGTGTTCTTTCTAGACTTTTTACTTACCGTCGTCCGTACCGAGCCGTTGATTTACCGTATCGTTTACCAACCGTCCCCCTCCCTCACCGGCGGCTCACCGGTCGCCAATTCGACATACAATTGAATTACCGATTGTACCGGGTAGCGGATCCATCACACCCCGCTGCAGTGCGTTAAACAAACAACGCGAGCAGTGATACTGTTGTTGTTGTTGTTGTTTCTCCCTCTGCTCCTCACGGGAGCATAGCCAGGCGGCTCTGGAAGCGTCTGGCGGCGGCCGCCAGGGCCGCCACCACTGAGGTCTCCCGGACCTCCTCCAGCCTGGGATGGATGTGACCCAGGGTTGAATGTCTCAGTCGCATCAGCGCCGGACATCTCAGCAGCACGTGTGCCGGCGTGTCAGGCTCCTCATTGCACAGGGGGCAGCGGGCCGCCACACAGCCCTCGTCGCGGCAGCCCTCACATCCCACAGAGGGAACGGCCCCGATCCTGTGCAGGTAGGCCCTGGAGCCCGACCAGTGCCCGGCTCGCAGCTGGTGGACGTCCACCGCGCGCTCCCGGTCCAGCCCCGCCACCGGTGGGGGGAATCGGCCCCCCATCAGCGACCGGAACCAGCCGGGGGGCCAGGCCCGGACCGTGTCGTCGCGGGCGGCCCTAGCCACCGCTCGGGTGATTGTCCTGATGTCTGCAGGCACGCTGTCTTGTGGTAGTTCCGCGGCCTCTCGGGCCACTCTGTCGGCTCGCTCATTACCCTCCACACCACAGTGCGAGGGGACCCACTGGACGTGGATCTTCCGGCCATTATCCGAGAGGGCGAACATGGCTCTCCAAGCCGCTACCCCCAGCGGGGAGGTCTGGGCGGCCGGGCCGTTGCGCAGGGTCGCCACTGCTGAGAGGCTATCCGTGCAGACCACGATAGGCAGGTCCTGGTCTCTGTCTCTTTGGGTTAGGGTCTCCAGGCCGGTCACCAGCGCCACCATCTCTGCGCGGTAACTGGAACATAGCTGTCCGGCCGGGACCCGCAACTCCTCGGTCTCTTCATCCGGCCAGACCAGCACGGCCCCAGCTCCGCCCCTCGAGACTCCGCCCGCCGCGGACCCGTCCGTCCACAGCCAGACGGCGCACTGCGGCAGGGACGCGAGGTGCAGGGCGGCCGCGCGCTCTCTTTCCGCCGCCGCGGCGCCGGCCCGGAGGGGGCCCACGTCCATCCGGAAGGTGACGCCTGATGTCTGCCGCCACGGCGGTATCCGAGGGGGGAGCACCGGCTCCACCGGCAGCGCGACTCCGGCCTTCTCCCAGGCCAGGCGGCCCCGCTCTCTCCACCCCCGAACTGAGGCCAGGCGCGCCGGTGCCGAGGCCTCGGCGGTCGCGCGCAGGGGGTCCCCCGGCGGCAGGGCCAGCGCCCTTCCCAGCAGCCTGGCGGCCAACGTCCATCCCCTCTCCTCCATCGGGGCTAGTCGAGCCTCCGCCATCAGCGCGTGGGTCGGTGTTGATCGTGGGCACCCGGTGATGATGCGGGCCGCCCCCCGCAGTTCCCGCTCCAGGAGCTCCACGTGCGAGGGGGCGGCCGCCGGCAGCCACGCGGCGGCGGCGTGCTCGAGCGCCCCGCGGACGTAGCCGTTGGCCACCGTCCTCAGGGCATCCTCGTCCAGGCCCCAGCTGCGTCCGCCGAGGCGGCGCAGGTGAGCCAGCCGGGGGCGAACTCGTTTCCGGAGACGACGACAGTGGGCACCGAACTGGAGGCGGCGGTCGAGCTCTATGCCGAGGAGGACTAGGGTGTCTTTCGCCTGCACCGTCTTTCCTGCCACCTTGATGGTGCCTCGGACGGCGTCTCGGGCGTTCTGGGAGAGCACCAGTAGTTGGGTTTTCTCCCCGGCGACCAGCATCTTGTTGTGGTGAGCCCACGCGACGAGGGCGTCTGCCGCTGTCTGCGCTCGACCTCTCGCCACCTCAATGGTGTTGCCCGAGCATAGAACTGCCGTGTCGTCGGCGTATATGTAGGGGGAGGTGCCCGGCGCTCGGAGGGCCTCGGCCAGGTCTGCCGCCCACAACAGGAACAAGTAGGGCGACAGAACACTGCCCTGGGGCAGCCCGGCGCGGAACATCCTCGGCTTGGAGAGGGCTCCTTGAACTTCGACCCTCGCTCTTCTGTCGCGTAACCATCCCCATACCCACCGGACAAGGCAGAGGGAGAGGCCGCTCTCGAGGAGTTTCAGACGCAGTAACTTGTGGTCTACGACGTCATACGCTCTACTGAAGTCGAAGGCTGTCAGGAGGAATTTCTGTGCTGACTCTCCGTCCTGGCGTTTTGACCGTTTGTCTCTCTTTGGCTTCTGCCATCCGTCTTGCACGTCTTGCACAAGTCTCCCGATACTGTCCTCCGCCGATCTTCCTGCTCTGAACCCCACTTGTTCGGGGGGGATGAGTCGGCGCTCTTCGGCCAGAAACTCCAGCCGGGGGAGTAGCATCCGCTCGGCGAGTTTCCCTACACAACTGGTGAGGGCAATTGGCCGGTAACTTGACAGGAGCCTCTTATCCTTCGATGCTTTCGGTATCGGTACCACGGTTGCCGAGCGCCACTCTTGGGGGACCGCTCCTGTCTTCCATGACTGGTTGATGAGGTGGAGCAGTGCGCTCCGGGCCACCGGACCAAGGTGCCGCAGCATTTCAGGTGTGATGCCATCGGGGCCGGGGGACTTGCGCAGTTGTGTCTTCTGGATGGCTTGAGCGAGTTCCTCTTCAGTGAAGGCCGAGCAGCACCCGGTGCGGTCGTTCTGACACTCGGAGCATGTGTGTCGGTCTATCCGGTTCAGCCGCTCCCGCGCCGCTCGGTCTATCTTGGGACTCCTCACTTGCCTCGAGACAGTGGCATATTGATGTGCAAAGGCGTTCGCCTTTGCCTCGGCGGAGACGAGAAGTCGGTCACCGGCCTTCATCGCTTCGCCGTCCCGGTCTCGGCGGGCGAGCCAGCGGGGAACTGGCGGGGAGGCGGAAGGGCCGGCGTGGCATACCTGGCATACCTCGCACCTTGGCGCAACCGTGTAACGCTCCTAGGACGGGACACCTGGTCACTCCCTGACCCCCGTCTGACCATTGACTCCTAGCCGTCAGACACATCTCTCCCTGACCTGACCTGATATAACCTAACCGTAACCTTGACATGCTCTCTTTTCCTCTGGCAGGGAAGCTACACCGTCAGGAGGTGGCCTACGTTCTGACGGAAGGGCCGAACGTTACCGGCATCTACAGGGACAGCTTTATCTACAGTGTGAGGGACACAGGTGAGTGCATAGCAAACAGCGTCGTCCATAGTGAAAGACACAAGCGGGAAGCCTTGGTAGAAGTGGTCCGTGCCCAATACGGCGATACTTTGCATACTCGTATACTCGTAAGTCGTAATGCGCCTTTAAAAACCAATAGGACCGCCAAATCGAACCGATGATTCTCGTATTCAGAGGTCGATGGTGTTATGATCAACATTCATGATTTCATGCCATTCGTAGCAGACAGTTACATTACTCTTTGTACCTGAGTTGAAGACTATTTGATGTTGATTTGATGCCCGATTTGTGAAACGATTTCCATTTCCAGAACCTTTGACGGCCTCTATTTACCGTGAATGTGCATCTTCGGATCCCATCTTGGATGTTACAAACCAAGATCACTTTGTACTGAACCAACCTGCCTGCGAGTGCGACTCAGAGTCAGATCGCAGACCACATAGTGCGTAGAACTGCCTTCTCTTGAGCAGTCTTGTGCTGTCTCATATCTGTTTAGTCGTGGTCGATTTAATCCTGTATGATATACACTATATCTGACCATTCATTCGTCCATCGTCTGTGACTCTACTCTCTCTGCTCTCCCCCGGCAGCCGGTAACGTGATGCGTGACCTGACCTTCAGCCTGACCTGGTCCTGGGTCACCTTGGCCGCCGCCCGGTACCAGGCTAACGAGACGGAGCCACAGCTGGTGGTGCGTCTCAACAGGACCGGTTACCTCGGCGGAACGTCCTTCGTCTGTAAGTCGCCGAATCAAGGAAGAATCTAGAACCGTACTAAGAAGCCTTGCTATCGATATGTTTTTTCAATGATGAGCGAATGCTGCAATTGTAATATTTATTTGATATTTCACTTCTGTCGTTGCTGCACACATACATTGACATGAATAATACATACAAGCCGTCCCGCAATGGTTCAATAGTTTGCCGATAGCCCAAATGAGACTATCCCCCTGCCTCTGCCTGTCCCCCGCTGCTATAATAACCGCCCTCCCTCTCCCCTCTACGCTCCCACAGCGGTGTCGCTGGAGAACGGCACTGCCACGGTGGGTGCCGACTGCAGCGCCACCTACGCCGCCCAGGTGCAGTTCTCTCCCGGCCAGAGCAGTGCCGAGTGGCGCCTCCCGCTCTTGGACGACACACAGTTCGAGGGTACGGAGACGCTGGTGCTGCGGCTCTCGCAGCCCGTGGAGGCGCTCCTGGGAGCGATCAGCGAAGCTCAGCTGGAGATCAGCGATTATGAGGATGGTAAGATGTGCGGAGAGACAGCAAAGTGCGGGTATGGCGGGGATTGCTGACCCTGAAACAATAGTTACATGGCATGTCTGTCCGTCCGATCTATCAAAAGTTATGCAATGAAAAACCGGTTGTGGGTGATTCCGTCCGTTTTCCTATCACGCTACCTACGTCTGTAATGTGTTTTGGAGCCGGTGTATCTCTCTGTTCTTCTGACACCTCCGCCATATTTCAGAGTCGGTGGTGTATTTTCCCGTCTCGGAGGTACGGGTGGAGGAGAGTGCCGGTACGGTAGAGGTGGCCGTGGAGAGGGCCGGAGATCTCAGCCAAGAGCTCACCGTCCTCTGCGTCACCAGAAACGGTGAGACCTGTGAAACTGCGTTAGCAGGAACGCTGCAACCGGTGTGCAGGTAACAACTGGCAATTTTCAATGTGTCTTTCCCTCCATGACCAGTGACCACGAAACCTAAGATGCAAAGAACAGTTTTGAATTGTTCTTTTGAAGGTAGAATTGTGGCTCTATGGGACATTTTTATACAAATTTGAAGGCATTTATATAATTAATACGAATGCAAGACTTTTTACAACGCATCGACGTTAAAATGCTGCTACAATCAGGACTCTTTCCCCGTTTATCCCCAGACAGTGCCGGCGGCACGGTGGGCGGCTCTGTGCTCTCGGGCGCCGACTTCCTCTCCCGGTCCCCTGCTGCGGACGCCAGTAGGGTGACTCTGGCCCCCGGCGCCAGCCGCGCACTGTGCCCCGTCACCCTCATTGACGACGCCCGGTTCGAGCCGGAGGAGAGCTTCTGGCTGGAGCTGCGGGAGCCGCGCGGCGGCCGGCTGTCCGACCACCGGCACCGCACCGCGCGAATAATCATCTTCAGTGATGATGACGACGGTCAGTGAATGGGAAAGACACCGGGAAACTCTAGGAGGAGCATGGAGAGGATATGAGAGGGTCGCCGATGGGGTGAAACGGCGGAGAGTTATAACCCGTGATTGTTACGTAAAGCTCCAAAGCGTGACGGAAAAGAGTGAATTCAGGGCGTGGAGGCACTTACCCAGTTATGTGTATGGTTAAAAATGGTTTTTGCAAATGGCGATATATTTAAAAAGGATTAGATGATGGCTTCCGTTGAAGCTAAGTGAGTTGAGTCACCATGCGTGTTTCATTCTTCCGCCCAGACTTTACACTTGTGGTTGGTTGGACCTCACGCCGCTGACGGGTGCTATACCGTTTTCAGCGCCGTACTTTCATTTCGGCCAGCCGACTCTGGCGGTGGACGAGTCGGTCGGTACGGTGTCGGTACTGGTGTTCAGAGCGGGAACTGATCTCAGCGGTCCGTCGGCCGTCACCGTCACTTCGAGAGGCGGAGAGACGCCCAGGGCTACAGGTAGGCTAGGAGAACCGTTACTTGTTAGGTAATCGTAACTTGTCACACCTTTTTATTGTTTTTATTTGGACGTCGGCTATCCTTTCGGTGCTACCAATACTTGAGGGAGCGACGTGATAGACTTTTCAACGGAACCTTTCTTTCAACGGAACATGAACTTGGAGTATTTCGTGACGGATTTTTCATTACTGTGTGCCATTCACACATCAGACAGAAGATCAATGAGGACATCTCCTCGTCCTCCTAATACACTCAATGACTACTCGTACTCATGAGTCATGACTCTCCTTTTCACCTCCACACAGCCGGCGAGGACTACCGGGCGGTCAGTGAGACGCTTCGGTTCGGCCCTGGTCAGACCCAGGCCACCGTCCAGCTCCTGGTGCTCGACGACCCGGGCCGTCCGCGCCGCGAGGGACCCGAGCACCTTCAGCTACTGCTTCGGCTGCCGACGAACTCCACCGTCGGGCGGCCCGGCACACTCAACGTCACCATTGACGATTCGGAGAGCGACCGTGAGTAGGACCTGCTGCCGCTGCTGATGATGACAGGGATGAAGGAATTCGAGTAGGGGGGTCGGGTGAAGGTAGCCTTCGACCGCGAACTCCTGGCTCACAGTGCGCTTATATCGTATTGCATGACAAGCACCTGGGCAACACAACACCATCACATGCTCACTCGTGGGCGAGTCACAGTCGGTCAGCACCGCCGCTATGTGCCCTGGACGCTACCATGGATTAAATACTTCATCCATGACGCTACCATCCGACCCCCGGCGAGGGGCGAGCGGAGCCCCTCGCCGGGTCAGCTCAGGTCACATGACCCATCGATCCGGTGCGGGTCACCAACCAATCAACGGCCGTCACACGCACGCGGCCCGGACGGGCGCTGGCCACGGGCAGTGGCGGGGCGGCAACCGGCAACCGACAGCCGACAGATGACGACCCCTTTGATGACAGTTGACATGACAGATGAAAGTTGTGATAATTACAGTTGGCGAACTGTCAACTATACATATGCCGTCATGTGTCGATGCATATCCTGTTTTTATGCCTGTGTTGTGCAGTATGCAATGTACATTGTGCAATACGAATTGACATTGTGAATTGACCTCTCCGCCGCCGGTAGTCCCCACCCACGCGTTCGCCGAGGACTCGTACTCGGGGTTCGAGGAGGACGACCAGGTGACGGCGTACGTGGTGCGTGGCGGTGACGTCACTATGACGTCATCTGTGCGCTGCTACACGCGCCAGGGATCGGCCGAGGCTGGCGCCGACTTCGAGGAGCGGCCAGACACGGATGCTAGTCGGCTGGAGTTTGCGCCAGGTTCGTAGGTGATTCGTCAGTGCGGTAGTGTTCGCTTGTGAAACGGGCGGGCACATTGCTGAAGTCAGCCCGTCACAGTTTGTGGCAAACACAAGGGAGCAGATGGGCTTCATGTATGGTTTTACACATCTGGCATGTTTATTTGTTTGTTTATTTATTTCACAACATCGCCAACAGGCAGTACCCATTGAGAGGCGAAGTCAAAAACATACGAATACATCGAAAGAAGGAATAGATAAGAGTCTACTAGCTTTGCATGCTACATGCCTACACAATAAAAGCATATAGTAAAAATAAATATGGTGAAAATATACCTGCTATAAAAATATACCTAATATAAATATGACTAATCAATAAAAGTATACACTAAGAACAAGACGCACTGTGATAAAAGTATACAGCATGAAGTATGATGGATAAAACACTATGTCAATGGCATCGCTCTCACATACTTCCTGACATGACCTTTGAACATACAAAGGCTCATGGATGGATGTTTGGCAAAGGATGTTTGAATTGTTTCGTATTCACGACCGTTACAACTTGCAACGGTAGCTTTTGTGATTGCATTTCCGTCGTTTCGTCATGCTCAGACTGTTAGGGTGTTCCCCCGCCGGTCTACCCGAATTTATTCGAGCCTTGCTTCATTTATTTGTATTTTGTGAACGCCCATCTTTTCTGGGGCACAGCAGGGAAGTACAAAAGCAGGCATTTATTTTCTGAGGTTTCTTCGGCCCTCAAATTCGAAAACACTTGTCAGTTGAACATGGCACTGAATACTCCATGAGCACGAGATATCCTCACAGGGCCGACGACGCTGAACTAAGCGACATTCCTTTAATAGTTAATACTGTACCGACAACTGAACCCTGTTTTTTCCGACTTTCTCCACAGGGGAGACGGAGAAGCCGTGTCCGGTGATCCTGATCAACGACCACACCCACGAATCGGCCGAGACGTTCCGTCTGGCACTGGGGGAGGCGCGCGCCGGCGGCGGCCCGGCGCTCCTGGGACTCAGGAACACCACGGAGGTCACCGTGCGTGATACGGCTGACAGTGAGTGAAGAGGTGTGTCGCGGGACGGGGAGGGTGATACGCGGAGTGGGCAACTGACACGGAACGTCGGGTTGTCACGCCTGGGAGACTGACAAACTTGTCAGGGTACCTCCACACATTCCCGAATTAGAACGCAAACGATGATAGCTTTTGACATACGGGATCGAAGGGAAAGGATGACCGACATACAGAGCTAGTAGTTGGCGGTGCCGACCGGGATAGTTGGACCAAAATGGTCCGACTGACCGGGTGGGTTCGGACTGGCGCACGAATTACGGGTACGGTGTTTGCCATAGACAGGAAGGTGACGACTGACTTTTCCACAGGGTCCTGGGCGGGGATGACACACGAACGCGGACTTAATCGGCGGATACATCTTCACCTTCATCCTCATATTCGTGTTATCGGGGCAAGAGGCACGATGTCCTGTAGGGCCCGTTCTCGCCGATTTCCATAACTTCACTTAGTACTCTAACACATAAAGGAAGTGCCACCCACCCGGGACTCATTTCGCACGAGTACACAGGACGTGACCCACAGGATATGATTATGAGCGTGCATCGAACGGGACTATTCACATATCAAATCATCACAGACAGAACCGTTGTTTTCCTGCCCGGTATACCCACTGGCTACTGCGAACGGCCAGCTGAGCGGTAGGGGGGGGGGGGAGAGATTTGGGTTTTTAGTCCCGTTATTTTATTTTTAGTTACAGACAGTGATATGCCATGTCGCCTATCTGCTATGCAGAACGAGATATCGCGACTTATACCCACCCTTCCGATGCACAAGACTCTTCAACATAGGTACTGATGAAACGGTATATGTTTACAATTGGTATCGGAAATGCTGGAGCAATCTCAGACACGGCTTCAGAGCGTGTTTGCCGAAGAGGCTAACAGGGTTTGCCGTGGATTATTTGAGAGCCCCTCTATCAGGTGCTCGGCGATACAACATTGTAAACACTCGTGCTAAGGCTGCCATAAGCCAGGTGTATGCGGTGTGCTGAGTATGCAGATTGTTATTACATCAGCCAGAATGGCGTACTCCAGTCTCTTCCTTCGTGTATTCATGTTCTGAATAACATGAATCAGGCGCATCATGTGGCGTGATGTTTGTAAATAAACTAGGGAGTTGAAACATGCATGCCTACGTTTTTATCACTTATTTCCGGTGTTAGATTTTGCATCTGTTGCATACATAGTGCCAGAGTCAAACAGTCTCGCCCGATCTTTTCCCCTTGCTCCGTGCTGAACTGACTCTCTCTCTCTCTCCCTCCCTCCCTCTTTCTCCCCCACAGTACCTCTGATCAAGTTCGAGTCGCGTCGTGTGCGGGTCACCGAGCCGACCATCGCTCAGGAACCGGTGGCGGCACGGGTGGCCGTGGTGCGACTTGGCGACCTTAGCGGTACATCTGTCGTCCGACTGTACACCAGAGACGGCTCGGCACGCGCCGGACAGGACTACCATGGCGTCTCCAGAGGTGAGAGACGGGAGGGCAGCGGAGGGACGCAGCATATACTAGGGAACACGGTACTCTCTGGGGTGGACACTCAGTATATTATCATGGCATATCCACTCTCCGGTCTAAAAACTGACGGGTGGGAGATAAAAAGCAAGCGAGAGATGACCACGTAAATAGCGGTCTACACAGGGAGAGGACACACCCGGGTAACAGGGAACCACCGGCCATATGACAGGGTTTCTAGAAGTAAAACATGGGAAATTAGGGAGAAGGGGCATGATTCACTCCACCGACATACCCTCGAATTCCGAGATTCGTCCCTAGAGACCGAAAGTTGCATAGTCAATGCTGAACGGAAATGCATGTAAGTTCAGAGTAAGCCGAGCCATCGAACTACATTTACTATCAGCGATCGTCTTTGCGGTTCACCTCTAATCTACGGCAAATGAGGAAAGTGACGCCTCTTCAACCGATAACTTGTACCTATGTATAGTTCAATGCAATGCCAGTATTTGAACAGGAGGAGGAAAATGTGTCAGACAGATGGAGGGGGGAGGGGGGAGGAGGCAATAGGTGCGCGCAGAATATAGGTATAGAACAAGGTGCGCGCGGCGTGGTGCGGTCTATGATGGATGTCAAGGCGTCAAATTACCTAAGTTTACGGCGACTATCGACAGTTTTAAGTGAAATTGGTTAGTTCTATTTTCGATGGTCCTAAACGAGGCTCATTGGGTCATGTTGGCTTGATGCTGACGATCCAAAGTGATTAACAATAATTAATGAGTAATAAGCGGATAATTAGATGAATTTTGCCCAGTTTACAGCGTGGCAGAGGCAGCTTAGCGGCCGGCCCAGTGCTATTGACCGCAGTTTCTATGGGGTGATGACCCCTGCAGCTATGAATAACTCACACATAGTTCGGTCAGTGCCCACTGTTGGTCCTGATCCAGAAGCCGGACCTCCCGCCCGAGTATCAGATAGCCGCTCTATTGATCCCAGCGTACTGTATTCCCATGTAGTGGGTACGTGCGTGTGTCCTTCATCAACACACAAACTCCCCCGATCAATACGGACCGGACCTGAACCCCTAGCAACTGACCGGTCGGTGTCCACGTTGGCGACACTTGTTAGTGCACGCCCCGGACGACGCGCTAGGGTAGCGCGGTGGGCCCGTAGGAACACGCTTCGACAAGGGGTGGTACAGAACTCCAGGCGGGGGGTCCATTCGGTGTCCCAGGCAGCCGTGGTAAACAGACTCCCAGTAAACATGTAGTAGACCCGCGACCCTTTTATGGTCTGTTGGCTCTGTTCAGTCAAGTTGGTCGGTTTTATAGACTAGCTGAGCGGTGGAGTGATCAGTTTCGTTTGATGGTGTCCTAGTCACAGTCACAAATCAATGGTGACATTCGGCGTAGGACAGCAAACGCGTTGGGATTCTGCACGTCTTTGTATATTTCATCACACCAGGCGCTAAAGCGACAGTACAAAATCACAACACAAATGTCTCATGGGGTCGCCTTCGGGAACAACCCAAAAGTGTGTTAGTCAGCAGAAATTAAAGGCATGCCCTGATTTTTGTGTAGGTATGCTTACTTCCAAAACGATAGACACCACACATAAAAACGTATGTAAACTGTTCCAAGACTTCAACACGAATATCCAACAAAATACCATGGGCCAATCGCGCTCTATTTTAGCACAACGCACATGCATCTTTTATTCTAATTTTAGAGCATAACAATTAAAGCGTGACTACGCCATGCAACTCGATGGAGAAGCCGAAATCTCTTTTTAAATATTTTAGAATATCGTTTTCTTCCGATAGTAACAAAAAGGAGCCAAACATTGATCAGAAATTCTTCCAAAGTTTGGGATTACTGAAGCCTCGTTGTACCAACTTCCCAACATGGGAAACACTCACAGGCATAGCTTAGCTTTAAAGCAGATAAGGCTGGGCGAATTTTCGCACGTGCGTAAGCCCCATTCCCCACGCTGCGGCAGTCCCAGTGGCCCCCTCCCCCCCCCCCCCCGGCGGTGGTCGGTCCATCCCTGCAGTGTCGGTGACTCCGCCTAGTTCCCGGCGAGCTGGTCGAACACGGCCTTGGTGGGTCCCTTGCCCTGGACCACTGAGCGCCCGTCGCGCTCCGCCACCGTGCCGTCCGCCCTCAGGAACACCAGGGTCGGGATGCCGCTGACCTGGAACTCGGTCTTCAGCTGCTGGGCGGCCGGACTGCCGTGCGGCACGGCCAGCCACTCGCCGTGCGCCTCGTTCATGTAGGCGGCCATGTCGGCCGGAGACCGGTCCGACGAGACGAACACCACCTCCAGCTCGCAGCCGGACTCCAGCAGCGCTTCGTAGAAGTCCTTCAGCACCGGCGTGAACATGCGGCACGGAGGACACCAGTGCGCCGAGAAGTAGATGCCGATCACCTTCTTGCCGGCGAGAGCCTCAGAGCCGGCGACGAGGCCGCCAGAGGCTCCCTTCTGCAGCTGGGTCGACTTGAGAGTGTCCATGGCGAGCTGTAGAACAGACGGCGGGGTGGGGAGATCGTCAGAAGCAGCTACGCGCTCTACGGAAATGACGGAGGCGAGAAGCCGTCTGGGTGGCTAGCTGAGAATGGGGGAAGCCCCGGACGGCTGTGCGACGTATAGAGATCGGCGGCAGACGGAGCAAGCGGGGATTACATCAGCGCATCACAAACCGGTCACACAATCATGGGGACGGGAGAGAATGAGACGTCTTGGCAAGTCACAGAAGCTGGGTGACACACCGTACTGTCCGCCGATCTGGGGCGAATGTTCCCGAACGGCAAACCGGCAAGTCATGCTGTCGAGTCTCCGGACGCCGGTAAACGGGCGTGACGCCCCCGCACGGGCCGATCACGGATGGAATACTCCAAGACCGGTCAGCCGAGCGGTCACGGACGGTCGGCCCGTGTCCAGGCCTGTCGGGCCTCGGGGTCGTGATTCAAGGGGCAGTGAACTCCACGTGGCAATGGACTCACGACGTGCCCTCACGGAAGGCGACGGCACGGCACGAGAGGACGAGGTGGACCAGTTGTCGGATGGGGACTCGACGGGAGGGGATGGGGATGGGGACGGTCGTTGGACCGAGACGGCGTGTCTGTCCAGCAATCAACGAGAAACGGTGACAATTCACAGTACCGGCATTCTTCATTCACTTATGTGGTCGCGGAGAGGTCAGGTAATTAAGCTGTGGTCCTATGGCTATATAGGGCCTTGAATTGCGGTTCGGAGCCCGCGAATAGAACGGTGACACGTTTCCTTGGCGGGAAGTTGCACATTCTCGTTACTATTACGCAACGATACGTGGCATTGCCGCATTGGAGCGCTGATGCCGGTTTGCTGATTCGGAATAGAGTTTGCTTCTAGCCTTCTAAATACTGTTGAATTACGTTTTCAGTGAGATGGCAAAACGTATAATCTGATACGTTTTGCCATCAACCCCGCACAATGAAAAGCGATCTTACGATGCAATCGCACACACTTCAGCTCAGCCCTCGTATCTCATCTCATCTCAATCCACAAACACGTCGGTCTAACGTTTTACGTAATTAGAGCGCAATGGAAATTGTTGAACTTCAAAATACTGCTAAAAGAAAATAGCATTGCTGAGGAGGTTGGCTTGTGCTTAATTAAATTGTACAGTTTTACTAAACAACTGCAATCAAAATAATACAGATAAGCCGGCTTTCTAGTGCCGGTTCAATACTCACCTTGACCTTGGTTGTGAGACTTGAGCTGTCTGAAGCTGATGCGCCGGCGGCGATTCCTCACGAACTGCTTGCCTCTCGGTCACCAATCTGGTATTTATCAGCTTCCCGTGCCTACCGCGCCCTGAGTCACCAGCCGCCGAGTCGTCACCAAGACACCGGTCACCGCTTGCAGCACCAGTCGTCACCACCGCCCAGCTCCGACAGTGACGTCAGCCGCGCATGCGCAGTGCACCTCAGAGCCGGCCGACTGCCAGCCTCGTGAGAGGTGTGCACGGGTCGACCGAACCGGCCCAGCGCGACGGGCGACGGCGGAGCGACCAGCGGGCAGACAGCGCCATCTGGGGCACCCCGACCGCACAGCGCCAGCTAGGCAGGCGGTGACTGGCGATGGGGCTGGCCGCTGGGAGCCAAAATCATCCAAAGAGAAGCTCAGAATTTGGGTTGACGTCTTCGGCCTGGAACTCTGAGATCACTGTGACCATTCGATTATTTTATTCTGAAGAAACTGGTGTTATAGATGAACGTTACCCACCTTTCAGTGCCCGAAAGAATGCAGCCTTGTTTCTGACCACCCCTTCGTTCTTCCCTCAGAACTGGAGTTTGCCGTGAACGTCTCGCGACGGGTGGTACACGTGGAGACTCTAGCACCCCTCCCTCTTCCCGCAGAGCTGGAGTTCGCAGTGAACGTGTCTCGATTGGTAGTTCCCGTGGAAATCCTCTATGACCGGGACCGGGAGCATCGCGAGGCCTTCTCTGTCCATCTGACTGAGGACCAGAGAGGTGTGGCCAACGTGACGCAGGACAGGGCCGTCGTCTATGTCGAGGTAAGTTCTACAGGGCTGTCGTCATGTCGAGGTAAGGAATACAGGGGTCATGTTCTATGCTTAGCCTATGTCAAGGTCAGTGACCCAGACATGGCCGTCGTCTATGTAGACTGTAGAGGTAAGTGCCTTATTGCAGTACCTTGCATGGACCTTGTCTATGTCGAAACGCTTGCCTAAAGAACAATTGATAATGTCGATAGGTGTCGATAGGTAGGCATTTGCCTATGTAGAGCTGTCATCTTCGTTAGGTTTTGAGTAGTTCGTACCTTATGCTTCGATGTCGTATTAGTTCATACATGCGTACATTTTACATACGCCGCTGTGTAACATGGATCGCGTATGCTACCCGTTTCTCATAAATCTTGCCGCCTGACCTCAGAAACACCCACCACACCGCGCCCCGTGAGTAACCCGTCCCCCCTCCCCCTGCGTGTCACAGGAGGTGGAGGTGGCCGCCGATGTCACGTTCCCGGCCCCGCCACTGGTCGTATCGCTCCAGGACTACGGGGACGTTCCCGCGGCACTGGAGGCACTGCTGGCCGGCTATCCGGTAGTCTGTGTCACCGTGAGTGGAATTGGGAGAGGGAGAGGGGAACTGGATATGATAGCAATAGTCTGCGAGGAACGGATGTTTGACCCCTCTGGGGGTTTATTATGATGTGTTCGGTGGTCACAGACTGGTCATGTTAGAATAAAACGGTGTTTTTCGTCTTGTCTATGCATGTGGTCATGCTTTTGCATGGTCATTGTCAAGCGAAGCTAGGATAAAATGGTGTTTTCCCTTTCAACTGGCTGTGGTCATGCTTTTTTGTGGCATTCGCTTGCATTCAAGCGACACATCCATAACATCCAAAACATATGATACTTTCACAAAACATCCATGTGTGTTATTCACGATGTTTTCAGCTCCCAGATTTCATGATTGATCGGAAACCGTCAATATATGGGCGTTAGACAGGCACTACCCTCTTCATCCATCGACCACCAGACTCTCACTGCCGTTTGCGTGACAGGCGTGTGACCCGGCGCACCCCGAGTTCGCCCGTCTGGGCCCGCTGTGTGCCCGGGAGGGGGTGGACAATAATCACACCGTGTACCGGTGGATGGTGGCCTCCCCCGCGCCACCCGGCCAGCCGCCGCGGCCGCTCCGACAACTCACCGCAGCCGTGTTCTTCGCAGGGTGAGACGGTCACGGCGGCGGGCAGGGAGTGTTAGGGACAGTCGAACTGGGGCCTCTTGCACCAAACTACCTAGCTAGGTAAAATCGAAAAACCGGTTTCAGAATAAGCTAATCTAACGGTGGTAAATTTGTTTGCAATAGCCCAATACATAATCCTACATGTGCTTGCTAAATTTTGCACGCAGATTGTTACATTTGAGACTTGAACTGGGTATACGATTCAAAATAATCCAAGCATTGGTGCAAGAGGATTTTGGTGCAAGAGGCCTCTGGTCATCGATTCCACCAATTTACTGACATTGGCGCATTATTTCAGTCTCGATTGCTTATTTTGGCCATAATTGTTTTTTGTCTGCTCTCACTAGTTAGTCTTTCATACGCTTTTATGTCAACTTGTCAACTTGATCATACCAACTGTTTACTGCCCACACATGTTTAGCAAATATCCCTCTTTTTCTTAACTGTCGTTTGCTGATCAACATTGCATGTTTGCAGTACACCACTCTTCGTATCCTCACCCCAGCTCTCTCACCTCTCCCCAGCACCTCTGAGCGTACTCTGGACTCTGTCTATGTACCGGTCGGCGGTCGGGTGCAGTGTGCGGCGCGCGCGGCGGACGCGGCCGGCCGGCCCGGCGCCGAGCTGCTCTCACAGCCTGCAGAGGTGGACGCTGCCAGAGGACTGTGTGAGCCGCGACTGGCGGGGACCATCGGGGCTGAGCCTTTTACGGCGAAACTCAAATACACCGGTGAGTGGCCGGGAATACTCATGGGAGGTCACATAAACAGCCTAGATGATAGCCTGAAATGAAAGGTCAGGAGATATAAACGTGGCTGGTCTGTTGACGCAGGACTTAAGTTATTGTTATTGTTGACCAGTGGCTGTTACACAATAATATCGACTTAACGGCATTAGTCACTCCTTCTGTCTGCCGAATGATGCTCATATAAGTCATCAATCAGTCATCAAGGGACATCACGACTCGAGGCTGACTGTTCCGTCGCCCCGTTCCAGGCGCTGACGACCCGACCCACCCTCACAAGGTGCGAGTCACCGTGCTTATCCCCCACGTGGACGGTCTGCTCCCGGCGCTCTCCACGCGACCTCTCAACAACTTCGACCTCACGCTGAGTAGCCGGGCGGCACGGCTCGGTAACCACCGCTGCTCGAACCTGCTGGACGCTGGTGAGGTCCGCACCGGCGCCGGGTTCATCACAAACGCCACGGCCGCGCCGGTGACCGCCGCCGCGCCGGTGGCCGCCCACCAGCTGGACGCCGCGCTTCGCCCGGCGCGCACGCTGCGCTTCTACCGCTCGCTGGACTGGCAGGGCTGCGTGTGGCGGTTCGAGGCCGAGTACTCGGTGTCGGAGCTGGTGTCGGTGTGCGGGGCACGGATCGGCGCCGCGCCGGCCCACGACGGTCTGCTCCAGTCGCTGGTGGCTCTGACGGTGCCGCTGTATGTGAGCTATGTGTTCCTGGCGCCGGAGACACCCGACGGGTGGCAGCATAGTGACATGGCCACGCAGCTGAGGTGAGCGTAGGGAGGGGTACTGGGTCAGGGGAAGGAGAGTGATTGAGAAATCAGACGGCCACGGGGCTCAAATCATTGGATGGTTTGAGAGTCAGCTGGTGCCTCTTGGGAAGCGATAGTCAGCTCAGGCAGCATCATGAGGGAGTAGCGGCTAGCTACGAGGGGGTATCGAAAAGTTCTGATCATCACCACGAATGCAATGTGATAGAAATTTGATTTTTTTACATGATGTTCATTACTCCTTTACAAGTCACCACACACGACCGCAAACTTTTTGCATCATTTCTTGAGCTGCCTCAGGCGGTCATTGTAGAACCATCGCACTGTCCCGTAAATCACTGTTCCATCTCATCAATGACGTCATTTCTGTCCTTAAATCACCGGCCATACTGTGGATTCTTCATCTCTCGTAACAATCAAGAGCCTGTTAATACCCGGTCAGGTGAATTTCTTAGATGCGGCAGGATTTAATGTTCACATCATGTTCTGTCTTCAATCGCAGCTCATGACGAATGGGCGGGAGCGCTGTCGGTGCGGATAAAACATCTTTATTGGGCTTTTTTTGCGGCAATTCTGCTTGAGGCCATCTCGCAACTTCTTCAAAAATGTGCAGTGGTGCTTGCTTATCATTATCCGACCATCATCAAGACAGTCGGTAATGGCTATCCAACGCCAGATCCAGAACACTGATAGCATTGACCTTCCATATCGGCTTCTGCATCTTCGCCTTTTAAGAAGGACAGATGTGCCGTGCTTAAACTTCTTGATCATCTTTTTGTCTCTGGATCATGCACATAGACCCAGCATTCGTCACAAGTCATCAAATTATGGAAGATGTCTTCAATTTCCTAAAAAAAGGCCTAGTTTTGATTTCGAAGGGCCAAGACGCATTTTTCTCTTGAACAAAGTAGACACACGAACTTCTAAGCGGGCTGACTCCTTTATCGTCTGTAGTTCTTCGCTGATAATATTTTCAGGCACTGCCAGCATTGAGACCTTTCTGTTGCACAGTCATCTGAAAGGTCACACGACGATCTGTAAGGATGAGGTCCTCCACTTCTTTCACAGTCACCACCTTATCAGTCACTGGTAGCCACTCACTTCTTGACTCCCCTGCAAGGGCCATGCAACCAAGTTGAAAATTATTTCTTCATTTTCGGTAAGTGCACGAGATGGGCTTTCCTCGCCATAAACTGATTTCACGTTCTTGATGTATTTTCTCAGTGTGGTACCGTTTCAAATGCATTAGTTGGATGACGGTTCGGTCCTCAATGGGCCCAATACTCATCTTTTTTACTTCTAAGTCTCTCCTACATAAGATAAAACCACTTCTCAGGATTCTCTTTGCGGGAACATTGTTCTTAAGAACCAAATATAATACCAACCAAAAATCATCAAAATCGGTCTACATCTTCTATGTGATGATCAGAACTTTCCGATACCCCCTCGTAGATCAGGGATCGTACCACATATCCTCACTCCTCAGCTCAGGGAGTTGGTCACCCTGATCACATTGAACGACGAGGACAGACGAGCTGCTCTTGAGCTCCATTTTATATTACACCCAGGGAGCTAATGTTCCATCCGGGGATCCGGGGGATCCGTCAACTGATTGAAAGGTCACACTGACCGCTCGTCTGGTCTGGTCTCGTCCGACTGGCCACATTGTCCCAGTTTGTGCCCTATCTTCTCTACCCCACCGTATTACCCCGCCACGCCTTTCACCCTCCACCCTTCCGTTCACAGGCTGACGTTTGCGTACGACACATCTGTCCTGTGGTCGGAGGGGATCGGACCGCCGTCCCTCTCCCCTGCCGGTGGTCAGCTCCACCCCACCGGTATGAGGCTCAGAGAGGACGGCCGGCTGGCGGTCACCTTCCGAACAGAGGCCGCCTTCAGGGGAATGTTTGTACTGGAGCACCAGGCGCTGAGGTGAGCGGTCGCGCCGGGGCGTCGGCGTTGTACATTGTGCTGTTTTAACACCAGCTTTAGCGGTGTTGCTGATGCGAGTGCACAACATCTGGTGAAACGTAAACTAAACCGTTTCAGCTACTATAATGGCTTGGCGGTGTTATATTGCGTCCGCGGGATCCGCATAATCAGCATAATCCAGTTGTGCATTGTTCGTTCAGATAGCATACTTATAGTACGGTTGGTTTACTGCTAATGTTTTTGTTCTGTCGACCTAATAACAGCCCAACAGCTCCATGTTGTGCCGATTGTCCAATCTCGTGTCCAATGCCCACACTCCCACTGACGCCCGCCCCGTCCGTCCCCCAGCGGTGTACGCTCTCGGGTGACGAGTAACGACCACACGGAGATGTCGTTCACGCTGCGTCTTACCCACTCGGAGCCCACGTTCGAGCAGCCCACCCAGCAGTGGGAGTTCGTCTCCGACTTTGCCGTGAGTCAAACGGCGCTCTCGGGAGTGTAAGGTCACATGGGAAAAACGGGCTGGCGTTTTGTGGCGTGATGTGGAAGCTTGTGTCGTAGGGAGTCGGTACTCGTACTGTCAGATTAGGAGTCGGAGAGATCGAGTTACGCTGTAGTTGTTTTTCTGGTTTTTTGGTTTATTGGCTATATTTATTCGTTACATTTTATGGTTATTATGTAAAATAAGCGATTTTTTGGTCCATGTATTACGTTGCATGCATTTTATTTTATCTAGGTTTGTTTGTTTGTTTGTTTGTTTGTTTGTTTGTTTGTTTGTTTTGTTGGGTTAGGCCCTTTCGGTCCAATTAGAATCCCAGTGGTCGGCAGGTCATTCGGGGTCGTGCCCCCTTTTTGGGCGCCAGGCAGGGCCATTACCCCCACCTACCAGACCCCATTGCTGACACAACTAAGTTTACTGCCAAATTCCATACCGTCCTGGAACTCTTTGGGTATTTGTGCATTTCCAATGCATCAAATTTAAAACATGACACTTCCTCCACAAAACATTTAATGCCTATATCCCAGTAGCGGCGGAACACCTTCAATTAAGGGGGAGGGGGGAACACTGCCGACTTTTGGTCCCATTCTTTCCATGCAACGCCCATAGGGCTGGGCTAATGTTAAAATGCAAAAATCAAAGGGTGCACGGTGCCCCGGTGCCCTCCCCGTTCCGCCGCCTATGCTATATCCCATTTAACCCTTGTACGTATAGGGGCGGCGGGTGGTTTTTCGTTAAAAGCTCACGTAAAAGGCATTGGATGACGACCAAATTGTACCCTCGAGCCCATCATTTTTTTTTTCACCAGCCCGGAAAATATCATGACCTGAGACCTGTTTTACCAACAGAAAAATAACCGCCTGCCGGAATTTTTGCCTCAAGACCGCTTCACATACGGAGCGTAAACGCGATGGGCTCGTAAGCGGATAGGGCTTTACCGTTTACGCTCCATATGTGAAACGATCTTTAGGCAAAAATTCCGGCAGGCGGCTATTTTTCTGCTGGTAAAACTGGCCTCTGGACCCATAATGACCGTTGGCTTATGAGCTTTTTCTGGAGATCATCTTGAGCCATAAAATCTCACTTCAAGAAGTTATAGCGGGTCCCGATTTTCTCGACACTTATCATTGCCCTCTTGAATGAGACGGAATGACCAAGGACCTTAAAAATGGGCAGCAGCGGCTTCCTATGGTCACGGGTAGCACGCTCGTCTTTTTTATGCACAGCTCCATATCAGAGTCCGAGAGGCCGCGGGGGTCCGATCGACTCCTCCCCCTTACGTTAGCGGCTGTTGAAACGCCAACAGACGGGCGACGGTTAAAAGTTGCAGCTGCTTTTGAACGACTGTACGGAGGGGTGAGATGGTGAGGCGAGCAGGTGCGTGAAAATTGGTATCTAATCAATGTGTGCTGTGCCTTTGGCCTGGGCTAATCTTTGAACCCTGGGATGCAACAGTCACGATGGCTCCATCACTGGAGCTACAAACTCTAAAAAGATAGGCTTTCTCAGAATCCCTCATTACCCCCACCGAAAGGGCTCCATTACCCCCAAAGGGGGCATGCCCCACCATTTGCCGACCCCTGAATTAGACCATTTCAGAGCCGGAAGGATGATAGGAATTAGGGGGAGACATTGGTCTGGGCAGGCACCCTAGTGAGTCACCGGGGCTGAGCCCATCCCGAAGGACAGGCCAGCCAGCCCCAAGGCACTCACTGCACCCGGCTACGGGGTGCCGCCGCTCCCTCGGGAGCAGCGGTGCCGCTCCAAGGGAGCAGCCCGCATGAGATAAAGTTCCCTGTCCAGCCCGGAGGGAGGTTGCGGCGTGGAGAAGGATTTCAGTATCCTGAGGATAGAAGCACGGAACGGTGTATGGATGGGATAGACCTTCTGGCGTTTTGTGTCTGCTTTGGTAGCTTGTGTCGTACTCGGGACTACTGTCAGATTTGGAGTAGGAGACTGGAGAGATCGAGTTATGCTTACATATTTTAGATATGTTGGGTATTATAGGTTTATTGATTATAGCTATCTATTATTTATTATGAGTTATGTCATTAAGTAAGATTTAACGATTTTTATCGTCCATGCACTATGCCGTATGCATTTTTATATCTAAGCCTTGACCTCTGAGGCGTATGTGTCGTTATTTTGTCAGGCGCGCGACTACTCTGGCAACTTCAGCGTGCTCCTGGTGCCCTGCCTGGCCGAGGAGGCTGTTCTGTTCTCTGAGCCGCCCCGCTGCAACCCGGCGCCGCCCACCGAGTTTGACCTGCTCGTCAGGTGAGGTCACGTGAGGCTAGCTCAGGTGAAATCAGCTTGGATAGGTCCCCTTTTTTGCCGTTATCAATAATTCTGGTGCATGATTCGCAGTAGGAAAAGGCCAAAGTTTTAAAGACTTAACCCTCGCCCATGTAGGGGGGGGGGTTGGTGCAACCCCCCCCCTGAGGTTTTTCGGAAATAGTGCAAAAACGGCGGCGCGCAGCGCCGCCAAATTTTGGGTATCTTATGGGGCAAACCTTGCGCATCTTTTGATAAAAAATTTGACCGGGTCATGTCAGGTCACGGAGTTATGACGTCACAAAGGGAACAGCCTCCGGCCGGATTTTCACAAACTGAGTGCCAACGCCCGAGGTTTCCTGCCGGTGGTACGAAGATCGGTTGATGGATCGTGATGAAACTTCCCATGCATGTTGGGGCAAGTATTGGCTATCATATGGTATAAGAAACTTGACCGGGTCAGGTCAGGTCACGGAGCTATGACGTCACAAGAGGAACAGCGTCCGGTACTATTTTTGAAAAGCGCCCGAACCACTATTTTGCTAATTCTTGTCACCTCAATGGGAATATGCAGCAATATTAGCTTCTATAGGGAGCAAATGGACCTCCCAAATCCAAAAATACAATCAGATTTCAAAAATTTAAATTTTGATTTTTCGAATTTCTGCCGCCGACTGTGACCTTGCCAACTTCCGGCGCTCCCAACGCGCCATTTTTAGAGCTAGGGAAACGAAATACATACCAAACGATAGAGAATTGATCAAGGAACACGATAGTGAAGGTTTCAAGTCGATATCTCCCACCGTTTTGCCGCAATCGCCGCCGAAAGTTGAAAAAAGTCTATTTTTCCGAAAATTTGACCTTTGACCGGTCAAAAGTAGGTCAAATGTTGACCTAGGACCAAAAAATATACCACCAATCGCGAGATCTCGGCGAGAGCAATCCGTTGGTCTTTTCCGCTAAGCTCTACGACGCTCCGGTTTCAAACGCCAAGGGGGGGGTCGCACCAACCCCGCCCCCCCCTGCATGGGCGAAGGTGGCAGATCGCCGTTTACGGGCGAGGGTTAAGTACCGCCGCCAAAATTTCAAAGCACAAAAGTTCAAAACTCGTGTATTTTCATAGTCGTTTTTAGGCGAAGTTGGGAGCTATTATTTATTAGTAACTCCATCTGCGTTTTAGTCCTAGTTTCACGTAATCGGTAATGTTCACTGCTTTTAGAATAGATCCCCGTGACAAATGATAATCATCTCTTTTGTCTTGTCATAACCCGACGATCTCTCGCTCTGACGACTGACGTTTTTACTCTGTATGACCCCGGCGCTGACGGCTGCCGGCAGGTTTCAGCAGGTCAGTGACCCCGTGCCGGCCCAGTTCTCCCTGAACACCCAGTTCCACGTGATGAAGAAGAGGGAGGCCTGGCTGTCGGCCGACCCGACCCGACTGGGGACCAGCGACGCCGACGTGGCCTTCGCGCCCGGTGAGAAATGAAGCCGGGCCTCAGGGGTCTCTTATGTTGTTGAGAAGGATAACTTCTCAAATGGGGCTGGTACCGTGAGGACAGTCACCGTTGGGATAGATACGTGTGCTCGAAGGATGACCATTGGGGCTGGTCCCATATATGTTCAGTAGCTCACTATCAGTCTCACGCCGGGTCTCTTGGGAGACGTTTAGACGTTCGTCTCGCGGAAGTAACACCTGACCAATAACCAATGACGCATGTCACCATTGTACCGATAGCAAGAAGTATGCGTAAAAGTTACGTGTTTAGCCGTGTGCCCGTCTGAACTCAGCCAATCGAAACGTCCTGACTCCTGATCTTGTGACGTTCACAGTCTGTCAATCCTTACCTACATAGGTACGACCTCGCGTCAGTCCTTCTGTGTCTGACCATCCCCGAACCGTCTGTCTTCCCCAGGCGAGCGGGTGCTGGGCAGGATCATGGTCGACCCCGTCCAGTACCTGGGCGGGTCGTTCCACCTCTCCATCGACAAGTGTTTCCTCTGTGTCGGCGCCGACGGCTACGTGCCAAAGTTTAGCCCCGATACAGACGAGTTTGGCTGTGTGGTGCACTCGGAGAGCCTGCTGCATCACTTCAAAATACTGGTGAGATGGTCCCGCACGCCTCTCAAAGTACTTCCATTGCGAGCTTCAACTAAAGATTAGCTATTCAAAGCTCACTTGTGTTGGCTGTATGCCGAACGCCGTTCCTGCGTACGTCATAGCCGCGTGTATTCTTCACACATTTCGGCTACCTCAGCAATCAGCTGCGGTTTGCGCATCGGCCGGTTAGCTCAGTTGGTTAGAGCGTCGTGCTAATAACGCGAATGTCGTGGGTTCGACCCCCACACTGGCCAGTGTTTTCACTCTTTCTCGCCCGCTTTCAGGATCGCGATGACCCGAGCTCTGTGATCGCCACATTCAAGTCAGTGCCATTCCATTCTCGGTTTGTCACAAATGACGTGGAGGCAGCTGTCTTGCGGAATCAAACTAACTTCGATGGGTTTTCCTTTGAGTCATCACCACTCTTCCAAGTAAGTAAACACGGCATTTAGAGCATAAATAAGCGTCAAGCAGTCAGCATTGTCCAAGGAATGCTTGCTTTCTGAATACTTTTACCACATCACTGGTGTCACTACAGCCTGTAGAAGTAGGCTGCTGTGGAAGCTCGGTCCAATGCTATATTTAGTTCACCTTTGTCTTCTCAATTTCTCAAATTAACTTGATTTATTCAGGCATTTATACAAAGTTTGTATCGTTATTCAGCAGTTCTGCTGACATTTGACAGAGCTGTGTGGTTTTATCGATCTGTTTTGTTTCACAGGTCGCTCAAGGTCGCCACTGGTTCATCCACTGTATTTACGAAATTCAGTCCGCCAAGGACAGCGTGTATCGGCAGAGGCGACACGTGCTGACCTCTACGGACACTGTGAGTACTAAAGCTTCTGTGGCCGTCCGTCGGGTCGCGCGCGATGCGCCGGTGGACGGGATCGGTCGCGGCGGGCGCGGTACCAACATGCACGTGCTGTCGCTGGACTACAGCGCTGCTGCGGCTGCCGGCGAAGGGCGCGGGCCGGACAGCGGTGAGCTGCTGCTGATTCTGGGCGGTCTAATGCTGGGCGTAGTGTCCTCCCTGCTGCTGGGTCTGCTGGTGCGGCGCCGCTGGCTCTCCAAGCCACGACCAGCGGCGGCCGGTGCCCCACACACCACCCTCCACACCACCGCCTACAGTTCACTGCACGGTCGAGAGATGTCACTGCTGTCTTCCCACCCCCACAAACTACCAGCGGGGGACCGGTACAGCGAGTACGAGCCTCTCTCGCCGACCTCCAGCTGTGTGACGATCTCGGCACGGTCCCAGGCGTCCACAGGGGTGGGCCGGCCGGCACTGTGGAGCTCTGCCTCCGGGCTGCGCTGGGGCGAGCCGCTGGAGCCTCCCGTGTGGGGCGGTGGAGGACTGAGACCCGGGCGGCCGGTGGTGGGCTCCGGGGTACCGCGGGTGCTCAGAGAGTACCTGTATGATGAGGACTGCTCAGAGGTGTAGATGAGGTCGGGCTCTCTGGACCTGGGGGCAGCGCTGGGGAGGGGAGCGGGTGACGCAAGTGGCGACTTACCAAGAAAAGCCGCCAGCCATGGACCATTGGACCAATGTTGGGCCCGAGTTTGACATGAGAGCTTGATGGCCGATAGTACTGCCGTTTTTATTTTCGTATGTATGTATTTGTTGTCATTGAGTGGTTCAGTACAGTGAATGATTGTTCAACAGCATTCCGATATCTGATACTTAGCGATAGTTTTGATAGTTATGATGACTTTGCTCTTCGGCACATTGATAATGATCACTCAGCTGTTTTGGAGATTGGTAGAATTCATCTGCTCATTTAGATATGTTTCATGCTTGTCCTACCGTATCGTTTTATTTGCATCGTCTCACGGCTGGGAATTATCATTTTGATTTGTGTTTGTTATTTGTACCGTTTTACATTGCTAAGTTATGATATTTATTGTAGCGATGTTACGTGTTGTTGGCGATGGACGTGTCGGGATAAATATGTATAAACCGACTCTTCCCTTTTTGTATAAAATACATGTTTTCTAATCCGTCCGAAAAGAGTTATTTCTGGGCTGTTCTGTGAGGTATGCCGCATTACCCACATAAACAACAGTAACGACAATGCCAGCTCAATGTTCGCGCACATCCCGCCCAGTGTCGAGTACTGCACTGTAGGTAGCTACGAGCCCGCAAAATACCCCGTATATCATTTCCAGCAAATGGTTACCGTGAATCGCTTCAGGCACTGTCATTCCGCTGTCATTCCCTCGCCCTTCTACGTGGCACTGCAGGTAGTGTGCTGTCAGAGACACGTCAGCGTGAGACTGGAGTCTGGTTTCCGATTTTGATTTGCCGTGGGATCTAGCCAGCTGCTGTATGGGGCACATGCCCAGGCACTGCATTGCGCAAACACCGCGAGCACGCGAAAGGAAGCTGATAACGGTCACTGAATTACAACTGTGCCGTTTCGCTGAGACCTGTCTCTTATATCTACCGATAAGGATAATTCGTTGACCAATATCCTGTTTTTATTTCCTTTTTATATTAATGCCTGTCGTATCGTATGTCTGCTGGTGTCTGAAAAAAAAAAATAACGACGTCCAAGACGTTTAATCAGCGGTGTAACTAATGTGATTCGTTGTCGTACAGAATGATAAAAATTGCAATGTTATTTTTATTCGTAAAATTTATTTACAGTTAATTAGCCGAATTCAGTTGATGCTCGGCTGTGGAATATCGCTGTGTAAATAGGACGGCGGCTCTCTGCCGCGCGGTCAGCGGACAGCAGCTGCTACTGCAGGGTGACGGTGTGGTTGGTTGCCATGTCCAGGTTGGGCCGCACCGTCAGCACGTCCTCCACGAAACTCCAGTCTTCGAAGGCCTCTCCATCCACCAGCACGGCTGTTGGCTGGTGCTGGCCGTAGAACAGCACCGTCTCCAGCACCGGCTGGTGCATCAGGTCCGTCCTCGGCTGCAGCACGTCCATGTGCAGCTCGCCGCTCTCCAGCCAGAACTGGCTCCGGTAGAAGTCTCCCAAATAGGGCGCCAGGCGCGACTCGCCGTCGTCCCAGTAGAGCTCGCCGGCGGCCGTGTCGCCGAACACGGAGAGGTTGAAGGGGTTCCGCCGCGCCGCCGCCGTCGTCGTCTCGTTTCTCTGCCAGGGCAGGATAGTCCCGGCGCGGGCGTACACCGGGATCATCTCGTCCATGCCCACGTGGTACTGGAAGGTGGTGGTGATGTCGCCGCTGTAGGCCAGCTTGCCGTCTCGCAAGTCCCACCACTTGCCGGCCGGTAACGTGACGTTGACGGACGTCATGCTGGTCTCGTCCAGGATCGGCGCCACCATGACGCCGTCGCCCCACAGGAACTGGGTGTCGACGCCGCGCAGCGCCGGGTCCGTGGGGAACTGGAAGGCCAGCGATCGTACTACTGGCTCTCCAAACGCCCTGGCTCGCCAGAAGAGTGTGTAGAGGTAGGGCAGCAGACGGTAGCGAAGACCGAGCGCGTCGCGCGCCGCGGCCGCCACCGACGGCCACACGGCCGGGTCCTGGGCGGGCGTCCCGATCGTGTTGTGGTTGCGACTGAAGGGATAGAACGCGCCGAGCTGCGTCCAGCGCAGGCACAGCTCCTCGGTCGAAGCGCCGTTGAAGCCGCAGATGTCTGCGCCGACGTACGGGATGCCGAACATGTTGAACTCGAGCATGCCGACGACGGAGCGTTTCATGTCCTTCCAGCGGGCGGTGTTGTCGCCCAGCCAGTGGCCGGTCCACATACCGGAGCCGGGGAAGGTGGACCTGCCGACCAGCAGGCCACGACGTCCCTCCAGCAGCATGTCCATGGCCAGCCGCGTGGCCGACGCCTCAGCGTAGCCGAACAGGTTGTGCACGTCGTAGTGCAGGAACGGGTGCGTGTCGTTGCCCTGGACAGTGCTCATGCAGATGGTGTGATCCGACAGACGCTTGCTCTCGTTGCTCGGGTCGCGTACCCAGCGGGTTGGATATGGCGGACTGTCCCACTTCGTGTCTGGGCACTTGAGACTCCACGGCGGCAGGTCATCGGGCCAGTTGAACGGCTTCTCCAGGTTAGTTCCGAACGACGACGGCTCGTTCATGTCAATCCAAAAGCCGTCGGCGCCGCCGGAAATCTCCCGGAAGCGTCGCATCTCGTCCACCCACCAGTTCACCGTCTCGACCTTCAGGAAGTCCGGGAACAGGGTCTTGCTCTCTGGCCACACGTAGCCCACGACGTAATCGCGACAGCCCTCGCACTGGTCATCGGGCACCAGGCTGGCGTTCATCCACTTGATGAAGACGTCGCTCTGGACTCCGCGGTCGGCCGACGGGTAGCCGCCGTCGAACTCTGCCGCGATGGCCGGGTCGTAGATGTAGACGAAGCGCACCTCTTCCTGCTCCCGCAGCTCCTGTACGTAGGCGGGCAGGTCGCTGAAGTTGCGCGGATCGATGGTGAAGTCGCGCCGCACGTTCATGTAGTCGATGTCCGAGTACTGGATATCCTGCGGGATCTGGGCGGCCTTCATGCGCTCGCGCACGGCGCGGATGTCGTCCGTGCTCGTGTAGCCGTAGCGGCACAGCTGGAAGCCGAGGCCCCAGTAGGGCGGCATCACGGGCCGGCCGATCGTCAGGTAGTACTGGCGCAGCACCTCCAGCGGCGAGTCGCCGAAGAAGAAGCACATGTCCAGGATGCCGCCCGTGGTGCGGAACGTCAGTGCCGTGCTGCCGTCCTCCAGCCGGAACAGACGGTACTCCATCGCGTTGCTGTTGAGGAAGAGCACGCCGAAGCTGTGACCGAAGTCGTCCTCGATGGCGGTGAAGAACGGATGCGTGCCGTACAGGTTCTCGACTCCATCACCGGGCGGCCGGTCGAGTGCGAACACCGGCCACGTCTCGCCGACGTCCAGATCGTGTCGGAAGCTGTCGTGGTTGTTCTCGCCGAAGCCGTACACATCGCTCCCAGCCAGTACAAACGTGGCCTCGATGAACTGGTCGCTGTAGACGAACTGGGGCAGCATGCGCAGCACCTCAGCTCCGCTGTGCTGCACGCTGAGCTCGAACTCGCCGTCGGTGGACAGCGACATGTCGTAGACGGGGTAGTTGGGATCGGTCGGCAGCGGCGGTACGTCCAGCGGCACCGGCACCTCGTACCGGTCGGCGTTGGCGTCTCGGAACTGACGGCAGGGATGGGAGAGGGCGTCAGCTGAGGGGAGGAATTGTGGGTGGAGATGGGAGAGAAAGAGAAAGAGACGGAGAGAGGGGAAGAGAGAAGGAGAGAGAGCGAGAGAGAGAGAGAAAGAGAGAGAGGAGAGAGAAGAGAGGGTGAGATGGGTAAAGAAGATGGATACACACGGCTCAAACAAGAAGTCAGTGCATTGAGGGTTCATTCATTCGACCTACCTGCCTCTAGCTTTTATGCCTGGATTTCTAAAGAAGACAAACAAATCATTTGTTAACACTAACAGGAACACTTAGAGCTCGGCGTCACCCAACATCCAAACCAGACATCATCGCCGTGCCGACCGGCCGCGCTCACCGAGACTCCCAGTCGATGATCGTCGTACTCGACGGCCAGCACGTGCAGCCGGTCGACGTCCCCGCCGAACACGGTAGCCTCCGGTCTCCGGCGCTCCAGATAGGCCTCATAGCCGGTGTGGATCACTAGCGGCGGCCCGTCCAGCTGGTAGCCTATGTCCTCTGCGAGCAGACAGCGGTCTCCGGACCAGAGACAGGCCGAGTACAGCGCGCAGGTTTCCTCACTGGCCGTGTCCGGGCCGCCCGGGAGAGGACAGTCCAGATCCGCCGCCCCCGCCAGCGCGGCGGTGCAGACGAGCAGCACCCAGCTGAACTTCATTGTGTGCGCGACTGACGCGCTGCTGACGGCTGGCTGAGTTTAAGATGTGGGGGCGCGGCCGAGGCGGGGCTCAGATAGCCTGGGAGGGGGACCAGCTGGTTCGGTGGCGGCTCGAAGCGCGTCGATAGGCGTTATCACAAGTGTATTCGCGGCCATTGGGGCGACGTAAGAAAAGAAGAAAACAACCGACCCCAAGAACTTTAAATTATCAGTTAGCATGCATCTTTTCCTTGATCTGTAGAGAATTTACCATTAACCCGCGCCCCAGTGGCGGTCTCGGCCAACTTCGCCCTAGTGAGGGGGGGGGCATATGTTACCACCCACCTCTAACTCAAAAACTAAGAGGGCTAGAAAGACGCGGTAAAAAGCAGTCGATAGCTCTCAATACGTACGTTTGAAAGTATTTCGGTCATTTTTCACCTTAGAGCAAAATTGGGGTCACCAGAGGTCATCAAAGGTCAAAATTTGCCAATTGTCATTATACTTTTCAGAAAACATGCCGCTATCTCAGGAACTATCGTAGCTAGAAAAACGCATGGAAAAGCAATCGATAGCTTTTGAACTCTTCTTTTGAAAAGGTCATTATCAATATTGTCCTCAGGTCAACGGTTTAGCCTCCAGAAGGCAAAAACTCCAAAAATAGCTGTTTTTACGAGAAGTGTTTTTCGACAATAACTTTCGACTACAAAATTCCACGACATTTCTATTGCCAGAATCGTGTTCCCCTCACCGAGACGCGTCGAATGAACTATAATTTGACCTTGAAAGGTCAACTTAAAAATTTGACCTCAGGTCAAGGTCATGACCTGACCGGAAAAGGTCATGTTGCATATCAGTCGATGCGTCTCAACAAGACAAACACAATGAGACCATCCCCAGCGTTCTATCTCTTTTCAATCGCGAGTTATTGGCAAAAAACTGTTTGTAGCCTCAAATGACCTCTGATGACCTTTCTAGAGGCTATCAGCAAAAATGACACCTTGGTCATCACGAGTGGACTAAATCATTGTGATTCTGAAATATTTGGACTGTTCCTATGCGTACACACGGATCTAGAGGCATTTTCATTTTTCTCCATTGACTTGTAATGGAAAGGTCATGCCACTGACCTGACCTTAGGTCACGGATATAAAAAAATCCGAGATATACAAATTGTAGGCTCCCATAACAGCATGCAATCCACCAAG